AAAAAAAAAATAAAACCAGATGTCATAATATTGTAAGTAAAACCAGCCAAAATATTTAATAACATGTGTCCACTTAATCGTACCACAAATTTGTCCCGTCTGTTAATGTATAACTAAATATTTAATGACATTACATCTTGTAAAATTTATAATATAAATATTCATCAGTAATATTAAACTAATTTAAATAAATATATGCCTTTAAAAGGTTTAATTCTGTTTTCCTTTAAATATAAAGATATGCTAGGTTGACGATACCCTAATGTTCTAGCAGCAGCGCCTATAGAAGGGTATACTGTAACTTCTTGTGTGTTAACATTAGTTACTTCTATACTTTTAGAAGTTCTGGGTATTTTGGCTATCTTTGGATTATTAGAATGAATTAATTGAAAAGTATATTTACCTAAAACAGGTTTATTATCATTCAAGTATATGTAATGTTCTATATATCTTCTATCTATATTTAGAGCACGAGCAGCCCCTTTTATCGCATTATATATAGTAGAAGTATTTGTTTCCAAATCAAATACTTCTACTTTTATGCTCTTAGGTTGAGCTGCGGATAATTTAGCCAAAACTTCTGGAGATTTATCTCTATTGTTAGCTGCATTACGCATATTTTCTAAGGTAGCTTCTGAGTGTTTTCACCCAGATCCATATAACATAAGAGATGGACTACCTGGAGTATATAATATATTATACTCTGGAGAATACACTTCAAAAAAATTTTTTTCTCTGGACATAAGATCATCTACAACACAAATTTCTAATATAGTTAAACTAAAATTATGATAACCGTGTTTTAATAATGCTACGTTGATAGGCATAGAATTCTGATTAAGTAGTCTATTAACATTATAATATTCTAAAAATCTACGTCTTAAATTAACAGAACTACCTATATATTTTTTACCATTCAACTTATTAGTTCACATGTAAATACCCGCTTTCCCTTTAACATAGTTAAGAAGATCTAATTTGTCTTTATCTGCATCAGAAAAAACCGCTAAACCTAAAGAATCTGTAGAACTACTTGAAGTTGAATATGCTCTGATACCCATTCGTCTAATACTAAGCAATCTAAATCTAGATGGATAAATATAACTTGGTGATATAGTATTTCTTAAATAATACATTAAGATAAATTTATGGATTAAGTTATTAAAAATAAATATTATAAATCGTACACTACTTTATCCTTTCTTTAAATAAGTATAATTTTTACTTTTTCATGCAGTGGCCATACTTCTGGGATGTCTTCTCAAGGAAGACTTCCCAGAAGTATGCAAGGAGAGTTTGCTGACCCTATTTCGGTAGTACAGGAGGGCTAATCTCCTGTACTACCGAAATTGGGTCAGCCATAAAAAAGAGATTTATATACTTTATTTCTCTAAAGGTATTTAGAAGATGAATGGTTTAATATAAAGGAAGGACAGGCTATTGTGTTATCTTTAATCTGGGGTTACTGAGTTTCTCCCAAGAACCGGCTTTCCCGGCGACTAGAGTACACCTTACAGTATATATAAAACTGAAGAACCGTCTACTCGTTGCTCTTTTACAATAACAGATGCTTTACTGGGAGGTGTCTTCTTTCAGCTGTACTTCGTCCGAAACAAGCAGAAGTATGACATCCCAGCATACATGTTATGGATTTAGATCCGCGATCACCCATTCCTATTACTAGAATCTTTAATGATATTACTATACCCTCAATCATTAATGAGGCCGGATAAGAAGTTTCCGTCTTATCTTTAGTTATTAAAGCTTTAGGGCTTCCCCGGAATTTGGCTCTTTTACACAAAAGAATGAGGGCCTAATCTAATCTTATATGTTTGCTCCTAATCTAAGCCCTAATGAAACATTCCTAGATAAGTATGAAATGAATTCTATTAGCACTAGTAATGGCAATAAGGCTAAAGGACAACCAGCTGGTACTAATAATGAGAAAAATTCTAGTTTATGTTTTTGAAATCCTAATATGGTTGCACCCAGCACTACAGTAAAGCTAAGAGCAAACGTAAATATAAAATGACTTGTTGACGCAAAACTGTAGGGACAGCACAGCAAATATTATAGGCTTGCCGTGGTGGACTATATCTTAATCACTCAGTTGTTATTGTAAAACAGTGTTAAGTGATTTTTCACGTAGAGTCTCTGAGGATCCTACTCATAACGTGGATGGTTATTTTGGTTTCCTGCTGATTGTTCATTGTTTCATCCTTTAAGATTTTTAGCTATAATCGCTACCTAAAGGCATTAGAAGTTTCCAGCATATAGTGAAATTTATTGTATTTTATTATTATTTATCTATGATATTACAAATATCTAAACATTTATTCTTCTTTTATTATTATTCTCTCTCTATTCATATTACTTTTAATTAGTTTTATTCTTTCTGGGCTGTACTTCGTCCGAAACAGAGCAGCCTTCGTCCGTTAAATGAGCCTTAGATTTTATTAATTCGGCTATTTGTACAAAACCTAAATAATCCTCTTTTTTAACTCCTAATAAGGGATACTCATTTAATAAAGGTATTAGCTTATCATTTATATCTGAAAAAACTGTTACTAAGTATTGACCTTCATCACGTGTTGGTGATTTGTAATATCTACCATAGTTTAGATAAGTAACGATATCCTTTAACAATTCCTCATCTTTAATATGTTGAGTTAATGAAAATCTTAAACTAACGTTTCTATTATTTTTAGTTATAACTTGGAAACTTCCTTCAGCTTCTATAAATCCTCTAATTCAGTTTAAGTTCTTAATATTAACATTTAAAGGATTATATATTACTGAAGGTCTTACTACTGGTTTTGCAAGAGGGAAACTCTCTTTAAACTTGTCTGATAGACCTCAGTTTAATGTAGCTTTAATTCCCACTAACTTCAGTAAACCTTCTATAGATAAATGCTCTTTATTCTTTATGATAGCTATAGCTTGTTTAAATAAAAGATAATCTGCATTCTTTTGAGTTATTAAAGGATAATTGTCAAAATGATCTGTGATTATTTGTAAATTATTTAAAGAACTTACACGATATTGCATAGAATCAACTCCATGTTTATAGATCT